TCTCGTGCTCCATCCTCCTCCCTCCCCTTGTCCCTGCCTTCATTCCGTCTTCTCTTCCTCTACCTTAGGGGCTGCACGAAATACACGTTGCAGGTAAGAAAGATAGATACCCCCAAGGGGGTACGATCGAAGACGAAGAGGGCGGGTATCGAGGGTTTGGGATATACGTGTTGAATGGCACGCGAGCAGATAAGAGCGAACCGTCTTGAATTGTTTGTTGTTTTGTTTTGCTGTTGATGTTTTTTGTTGATGCTGTTGTGATTGTTGTTGTTGAACTCTCACCACTGAAGAGTAAGTATTGTTGATCCCCCTCCAGTGACCATTGTGTTCTTTGATTCCAGTTGAGTGCTTCCCCCGGGGCTCGCACCCTGTTGTTTTCATCAGGGAAAGTCACGGGGTTCAAACTGGGCCCGTGACCCCCCGCTTACAACAACAACAACAACAACAATTACTAGCACGTGGGGACACTCCGTTCTCACCAGTGCCAGGGTTTTCATACGACGCCCGCCAATACCCCCACTTTGTGGGGGGGCCGGTTCAAGCTCTACCACATTTCCAAACGACTCTTCGCCACCACCCACACCCAGCTTCCCGCCCTATGACGTTCGGACACTTCACTTCGTGGCCTGCGGACGACCGTGGCTACTACACTGGCGCATGGGTACAGTGACTTGTTGTGGTAACATTTTCTGGACGCTAGCTTAGTATACGACTTTTCCCCCTTTTGGAAGGGGGAAAGGATCTACGGTGCGATTCGTATGATTTTATGTTGCGCGGTGCTAAAATTCCTAAGAAACCCAATGGTTTTTGAAGATTTCGGCGTGCGCGCGCGAAGAAAAAACGAATGTGTCCCGCATGGTATTATTTGACAGGGATGATGGCCCTGGCAGGTGCGCAACCGTTGTTGGAGAAGTTCGAAGCACGTGAAAAAGTTGCTCGCAAAAGCCCGTTTGACAGAAATGTTTAAAAAGTGTTGGGTTTCCTACAAATCCGCAAGAGCGCGCGGGATGAAAGTTTGACACTTTTTTGGAAAAAAAACCATTGGTTTTTTTGATGTTTTTATGTTAAAATCGCTACGAACACTAAGGTTTTGGAAGGATTTCGTCTTGCGCGCGCGAATGTCCACTTTACCTTATTTTTTGCAAGGGATTCTTGAAGTTTGGTTATGTTAGAACAAGAAATGTCCACTTTGCCTTATTTTTTGCAAGGGAAAACCGCCCGTAACAAAACAACCGGATCCGGACCAACCCGTTTTGCCGGAGACTTCCTCGCGAAAATGATGAAAACATGGCTGCGGCCTAGGCGCGGCGAGGGGGCCGTGCACCAGGGGCCCCAACAATAATTATTCTTTAGAAGTAATAATATTCAACAACAACAACAGCAACAGCAACAACAACAACAACGGCTCCCGCCTGATACTTCTTCGTACTTTATTCCAATCCAAAATCACGCGTCGTGCTCTTGCGTGGGATCCCCTCGCAATTTATTCAGACGATGCGCCCTCGGCGCTCAGGAATCAAGCCATTGCTTTGGCTTTTCTCACGTTTTTCTTGGGAATCGCGCTATCGCTCGAGACTTCCTCGCGATTCATGCAGGACCCACGCTTCAGCAACCCGCCTGCTCGACCTGTTCGCTTGGGCCCGCCTTCCCGACCTGCCCGCTATGGGTCTGCCCGTCCGACCTGCCCGTCTGGTTCTACCACTTGTTTTCTGCTCCTAGGCCCCCCTCCTAATTTCTCTCGTGCTCCATTCTTCTCCCTTCCCCTTCCACCCTCCCTCCCTCCCTTGCCTTAGGGGGTGCATTAAAAATGCACGTGGCAAGTGAGAAAGGTATACCCCCAAGGGGGTACGAGCGAAGACGACGATGGCGGGTACCGAGGGTTTGGGGTGTACGTATTGATTGGAACGTGAGCAGATAGGAGCAAACAGTCTTCAATCAATTGGTGTTGTTGTTGGTATGGTTGTTATTGTAATTGTTGCTTGTGTTGTTGCTGATGTTGTTGGTGTTGTTGTGGCTTCTGTTGAAGTTGAGTTATAAGTCGTGTCCTGTTGAAATTCAAACTTGATTGTTCTGCCTCCCAGTGGTCCAAGGCGCCCAAGGACGCACCCAGGATCGCTCCAAGACAGCCCAAGAAGGCCCCGAGAGAGTTCCACTTGAAACCCAAGAGAGCCCCAAGGCTGCCCACTAGACTACCAAACCGGCTCAACTGAGCTGCAAGACGCTCCAAGAGTGGCCCGAGAGGGGGGACGCGAATTGACAGTTCGAAAGCCTCTCCACCAAGGATGGCTCTGCCGGTTCTGGCCTACCGCGCTCCGGCGTGACACGCAATCTACGGCCTGGTCCCAAGGCATCAACGTCCCGAGCCTTTCCCAGCCTACCGCCCCGCGGAGCGCATCGACACACTGTCCGCTCGCAGGGCATAGCGTGTCGCCGTGGCCGCCGCGGCGACACGCTAAGCAAAGGAACCCGACCGTAGACCCACAGAGTTGCTTCCTGGGGCCCCAACCCTCAAACCCTCCTCGAACCCTCCTCGCGCCCCATCTTAACCACGCTGGAGCACTTCCGCCGGAAGGTCTGTTCCTCCCACATTCCGGCCCCCGCCCGCTCCCCTCCCAACGTTCGACCGCCTCAGACATCCTCGCCATTCCACGACGATGCCCGAAGCATGACGAAGGATACGAGCGTGTTCCCGAGTGCTCTCCCCAGAACATGTTCGTTCCACGACCTTGTCGATAGTTCGTCAGCTCCACCCTCCCTTTGCACGTGTTGTGCGTCTTGAAGATCAGGCCGCGTGCAGCTCTCTCCCAGCCCCCCCCGCGCGTGAGTACGGCCTGATGTGGTGGTTGATGGAGAGCGGGCCCGATGACCGCACAGCGTGAAGCAAACGTGGCCAATCCTGAGCGGACGGCAAGCGTGTGGCTCTAGGACCAGCAACTGCCTGCAGTGCTGCCAGGGTCGAGAAGTAGAGTTGACACCATCGCCTGTTGGGATCATATGAGGACTGTGTTAAGCCTTTGGCGCGGCGAGAGTCTACGCAAGATGGCTGCCGTGTCTGAGGTGTGTGTTTGAGAAAGTCCCCTCTCTATTCGGAAACCGGGCGAGGCGTTCCAACAAGGGCCTTGCCTTCGAGGATCGAGAGAGGTGTCATCTCTTCCTCGGCAGAAGGCGGCAGAAGGGCGGCGGACGGCCGGCGGAAATATGGCGAGGCCGCCTCCGCCAGCAAGGCTGGCGGAAGGCGACGGAAGTAAAAGATACGACCCCAAGAGATGAAAAACGTTTTTGGGTTCAGGGTTCCCGAAGTCTCGCCCAGGTGGTTCGAGGGAGCCGCATTCAGCCTTCCCTCAGCCTTCCACGGTCGGGTCAAGTGCTCACAGATCATCCTGGCGCCGCCCCGGACACGGTTAGGCCACTGGAGGCCGACCTGCCATAACACAGTAGCGCTTGCAATGCGCATCGCAGCAGCGCATCGGATGGCATTGCATAGCAGAGCATTGCGCGACCTTTCTTGCCATGGCACTGACTAGCGCGAGGGCGCATAGATAATCGCACTTCGTGGGTCGCGGTGCGCGAAGTTATGTTGGCGGCCTAAGAGGAGCATAGCATGGTACGGCATGGCATTGCATAGAAAGGCATTACATGGCACGTCCCATTGCCCAGTATGGCACAGCTGCGCTAGCACCGGCGCCTAGGCCCGCGAGGAGTTGGCCCGATAACAGCCACCAGAATCCGCTTCTATGATTTTCACAAGGGTGAGTGCCTTACCCAAGCCTGTTTCGGGAACGCGAGAGAAACACACCACGCACACGCACCTTATCCGTGCCCAGCCGTCTTGGCTCGACCAATTTGGATTCAAGGTGCAAGCCAACATTTTGTTTTGGGCATTGCAATTCCTGTATGGCGCTGTCAAGCCTGTCAGACATAGCTAGGTATATCAGGTCGAATGCTTGCACATCAGTCGTCATGCTGACAGGGGCGAGTTGTGTCCCTGCCTGGAGACAAACCTACGACAGCCTCCAGGCGCATGAAATCACTGTCACAGAAAACCAGCGTGCCTTACTGCAGCAAAGCTCCTCGGCAGTGATGCGACGTGACGTCTTTCTTGAAAGCCAGTTGCCATATTTAGAACTACGACGTCCATTCATCTTGGGCACACAAAAACAGAAATGGAAACCAACGCTGACACATTGGTTTGCTAGGTTCCTCGAACGAGAAAACAAGCTCACACGCGTCTTTGCCCAGAACATCGACGGGTTGAACAAATTTACCGGTATAGCTTCAGGTTTGGTGTGCAACATGCATGGTGACATTGGAGAGGCATCGTGCGCTGTGTGCAATGCTGACATGTGTTTCGACAGCTTTTGCGATGAGGTCCGAGTCAAAATCAAAGACATCTACGCCTGTGACCCTGATGCACCTGCGGAGTCATCTCATATCATTTGCCAAAGCTGTGGCGGCCCGACCATGAAACCAAGCACGAAGCTCTTCGGCGACAGTTTGACCAAGCAGTTCACAGCGCATGCAAAGACTGATTTGCCTCGGGCATCGTTGCTGATCGTTGCTGGTACCTCCTTAACCGCATCACCCGCGAACAAGCTTGTGCAGATGGTGCCTAGCAGTTGCCCTCGCCTGTTTATAAGTGACCAAGACATGACAATTGGCCGCGGCTCTGGTTTCCTACGTGATGATGGAGACATTGTTGTTAGCGGTCAGACTTGTGATAAAGCGTTTCTGGACTTGGCACTCCTCTTGAGTTGGCGAGAACACTTGCTGGCCTGCAAGGACAAGCTTTCACCAGATATCCAAGATCAGTTGAGTAGAACATGATGGGGCACCGGCCGCCCCAGCAACTGCAATATTCTTTGTGTAGTCGGGTGGTCCCCTGACGGGCCGGGGTTCGGGTACCAAATTGTCTACAGCCCAGTTCGGGGAGTCTCGTGCCCTCGCATCGGCCGAGGAATAGACTGTTTTTTGTTAGGGCAGTGGCTCTCCCGCGCGTCCCCTTACTTCGTGATGGGCCTGCTTTCCACCACATCCACCACGCCATAAGTTGGAGGGGGTAAGGAGGTGGCGGATGAGGAGGAGAAGGAAGAGGAGGAAGAGGACGAGGAGGACGAGGAGGAAGAGGAGGAGGAGGACGAGGAGGACGAGGAGGAGGAGGAGGAGGAGGAGCTGGACGAGGAAGAGGAGGAGGAGGACGAGGAGGAGGAGGAAGAGGAGGAGGAGGAGGAGGAGGAGGAGGAGGAGGAGGAGCCCGTGTGCTGGCCTACTATCCTCCCGTGGAGTGCCCACAAGGGATGCCCGTGCAGGCTGCGCACCGACTCCGTGACAACCATGGCCTGGTGTTTCAGTCTTGTAAGTCTTTTGATTTCCCTCCTCCTCATCCTCCTCCTCCTCGTTCTCCTCCTCATCCTTCTCCTCCTTCTCCTCCGCCCCCCCTTTCATCCTCCTCTTCCTCGTCCTCCTGCTCCTCCTTCATCCCCTCCCTCCTCCTCCTCCTCCTCCTCCTCCTCCTGCTCCTCCTCCTCCTGCTCCTCATTCATGAACTTTTTTTTGCTTCCTTCTCCTAGCACGTCCTGTGCTATACCACCACATGCGTTTACGATGTTCTGGGCGCCGGTCTGTTCGACAATTCTGCTTGGCACCATCGCGACTTGTTCCAGGCCGAGGCTCTACGTGCGGGCTCGCCTAATTCGGGGGAGCGTAAGACCCGGGTTTGCCAGGACTCGGGTTCGCCATCGTTGTTTGACGACCGCGCCTCGGATTTTGACGAGGAGGAGTTTCGTGGGATGTCTGCAGCGGGAGGCCTCGTCAAAATGCAGGCTCGGCCTCGTCATTTTTGTTGACGACCTCGTCGGGGATTTCCGAGTGCCCTGTACCCAGGTCTTACGTCTCCCCGACTAACTATTGCAGGTTGGCCTTGCGCTGTGCTGTAGAAGAAATAGCAAACCTCAACAGCCTGCAGGTTGGTATATGGCATATGCCTGCGCTCTTGACATATTGCATGTCAGTGGAGGATTTGGGTCTCATCGACAGATCTTCCATATACCGGAAGACCTGGCCCTCGGGGCCCCTGGGCGAATCACACCAGAATCCACTGGTGTGCTCCCCCCTCCCCCACGGGGCCTCCCTGCGGCGTCTCCGGAGACTCCCCGGAGCTGCCCCGGGCCCCGCAAAGATACCAGATAAGTCCCAGCGGAGCCCAAGACGGGCGAATACGGCTTCCGGGCGACCCCAGATGGACTCCAGACAGCTCCAGGCAGCCCAAGTGGGCTTCGAAATGGCATCAGATGCCCCCGAGTGGCCCCAAGACGGCTCTGAGAGCACCCCCCCAAAAGGGCAAGCATCGTCCCATTCCCAAAGGGAAGCGTCGATCTATAGTACGTCGTCCAAGAAGGCCGAAGACGGCTCCTCAAGACCGCTCCAAGACGGCCCAAAGGGGCCCAGAGACGGCGCTACAGATCACCAAAATGGGGCCCCAAGAGGGGCCCAAGACGCCCTCCAGAGGGACCCTACGCGAGCCAAGAGGCTTCCCAAGAGGGCCCAAGCTGCCAAGAGAGTCCCAGAGAGGCCCCCAAGAGCCAGTCACCGCCAGCTGGCCTCCAGGAAACTCCCAAGAGGCCCCCTGAGACCCCCACGAAGCCTCCAAGAGGCTTTCCAAGACGTCCTCGGATGCACCAAAAATACTTTGTACAGGCTCTCGAGAGGCTTTCCAGGAACCCCCAACAAGTATCTCAGAGGGACCACCCAAGATCAGACCGTACGCCACCCCTTCCCTTTACGACTACACATTCTCGACAAGTAGGATGAGCAGTTGAAGGATGAGGTACTTGACGCTGAGGTGAATGATCAGGATGATTCGAAGGAGGACGCCTGCCCAGGTCTTGCCTAGGTCGTTGTTCAAGGCTATACAGGCACGCTTGAGCTAATCTGGGGGGTCACGGCTGCCCCGGCGCTGGCTCCCAGGACAAATCCAAAAAGGCCCCAAGACTGCCCCGAGACCGCCAAAAAGGGCCCAAGGCGAACCAAAAGGGCCCCGAGAGAGGCCCCCCGGCGGGACCACCAGCCGGCTTTCAATAGGCCCCTACAACGCCTTCATACGCGACATGAAATCCCTTAGAGATCCCCAGAAGGCGTCCAAGAGGGTCCCAGAGGCTTCCCAAGAGCCCCCAAGGAACCTCGTCCAGAACTTTGATCCCCCTCGATCCTCGACCCCTCCCGCCTCCGTTTGTTGCCCAGGACCATGAATCGAGCCTCAGGCGTCAGAACAACAAATATCGGGTTTGGAGGATGGGGTTGGGAGAAATGATCAGATCACCCGTACTGTCGCGCATGTTGAGTGTATTGATAACACAGTCGTGCCCTGTATCTACCCAGCCCGTACCGCCAAACATAAACCGATAATTGTCTTTCTCTAGGCGGCCGTTCGGGACTATTCGGGCCGGGAGAAAGGGGAGTGCTTCATCTGGTTTCTATCACAGCGCCATGGGCTCCGTTAGACGCCGCGAGAACCTAAGCGCACCCAGAAATTGGGCGACCACGTGACAATCACAGGACAACCATGGGGCGGGAGGAATCGCTGGACAACCACGGGACAACCACAGGACAAGCAAGGGAGAAACACGGGACAACCAGAAAACAACCACAGGACAATCGAGGGACAACCACGGAACAACCACGGGGCCACAGTGGGACAACAACGGGACAACCATTGGACATTTACGGGAAAACCAGAAAACAACCAGGGAACGACAACGGGACAATCACGGAGCAATCACGGGGCAACACGGGACAACCACGGGACAACCACAGGGTTAACACGGGACAATCGCGAGACCATCGCGGGACCTCTCCAGGCAGACCCCGGTGGCCAGGGACCCGATTCATTTTGGCGTGGCCATGCAGGGGTTCGAGCGTCGCTTCGCCCGCACTCGCGTCACGCACGACACGAACCGAAACCGAAATCGATATCCTTGTTTGGGGCGCTCCGTGATTCATGTCGTCCTCACCCCCAAACTTTCGATTGCCGCAGTGCTTTGTTTCGCGATGCCTGGATCGAGTCTGGGATCGATTACAGAATCGATTTACCTCAGAATTGATTTTCCCCATCGAATCGACGACGAATACGTAGAATATTCGCACATCTACTGGGAGTTCTCAGCATTTTCCGCGGATTCGACGAGAAAATCAATTCTGGGGTGACTCAATTCTGTAGTCGATCCCCTACCCGACTGGAGATCTGGACCCCCCCTGAAAAATCGATCGACCCCCAGCGCTGCCCTCGGGTGCGGTCGGACCCATGGTGTCGGGGCGAGTCCAGCCGTGGCCGCGAGAGCCCCCCCCCCCCGTGGAGGCCCCCAAGAGCGGCCCCGAGCCGCCCGGAGTCGTTGATCCTCGATCCCGGCATCGCTCGGACGCGTGCCTCTTGCTCTCGGCGAGGACCATCGAGGAGCATCGTGGGCCATCTAGCAGACAAGGCACGCGCGAAACCGGCAAAAGTGCACGGGGACTGGGCGTCCGAGCGATGGCCCCAGACCCCCGACGTCATGATTTTTTCATGACGTCGACCCCCCGAGGTCTCGTCCCATTCCCCGGGGCCGGTTTTTCATCCTGAGCCGTTTTTTGACGGGCCTGAGGGCCGGTAAGGGCCCCCAAAGGCCGAAAATCATGAAAAACCTCGCGTCGTGATTTTTTCATGACTCGAGGGGGTCTGGGGCAAGCGATCTTCGCCCCCCCGAGCCTCGAGTGCCCGCGTCCAGATCCCGAGCCTCCCCCCGCGCGGGCCGCAGCCGGCTGCGACCCTGCCGTGGCCAACCTGACGGACATGCAGGAGGGCCCGCTGCTCAACGTGACGGAGGGGGTCGACCCAGGGACAGCGGCCCCGCCACGAACGAGGAGGGTGAGGAGGAGGAGGAGGAGAAGGAACAGGAAAAGAATAGAAGGAGGAGGAGGGGAAGAGAAAGGAAGAGACGTTGAGCAGGAGGAGGAGGAGGAGGAGGAGGAGGAGGAGGAGGAGGAGGGGGAGGAGAAGATGAGATGGATGAGGAGAAGGAGTAGTGCCTGTCCTACTCTTCCGCCCACCTCCTCCATCTCCTCTTCCTCCTCATCATCATCATCATCAATCATCATCATCCTCATCATCATCATCATCATCATCATCATCATCATCATCATCATCATCATCATTATCATCCGTAGCTATTTTGGCTCAAGCCAGGCTTGCCTGATGCGCTACTGTGGGCCGCGCGGTGCAATGTCGGCCAGTTCCCCTTCATGTTCTTCGCTCTCTTGGCATGCCTCGGTCTGGTCGCCGTGCAGGTCTCTTTGCACCTGGTGATCGTCGTGTGGTTCGATGCCGAGTTCGGGTCCACCAGCGCTGCTCTCCGTGCTGCGGAGGCGTACCTGTGGCCGCGTCTGTACTGGCGCTGCTGCAAGCTCAACTCCGCGACGAACGCGGCTAATCATGGGCGGTTCTGCCGCTGCTGGCCGGTCTTCTTCTCTCGTCCTCAACGGCGCTCTCGTGTGCAGGGTTCTTCGCCTACTACGCCCACGCAGACTTCCAGTCGGATCCCGAGTACGACGCAAATTGTTGACATGTCAAATCTTCGTGCTTCGGCTAACCCGTTCTTCTTGCCGATTCTGTCTACTGTGAGCTCTCGGCCCTCTGGTGGCCTCGAGGATGCTGCTGCCCGGAAGCCGCAGTCGTTGAGCCCACATGGTATTGGATATTGTTTTCCTGCTCGCCTCGGCGACCTGCCTGGGCAGCGCCGACGCCCTAGGCGCCGTCGCCATCGCCCTGCGGGTGCTGCTCGCGTTCCTGAAGTTCGATCTCCTGAGCCTGATCATCTACGCCAAGTCCGTGATGAAGTTGATGTTGTTGCTCTGGCAGGTTCGGATGTCCATGCGATCTTCCAAGAAGTTTCCGGTGGTGTTGCCCACGGACCTCACCTTCGTGATGATTCTCGCGGCGGCGACGCTTCCCGACATCCAGCGGGTGACGCTCGCGCTCCTGATCTCCGTGATCCTGGGCCTGACCCTCCACGCCAAGAGCGTGCTGAAGTTCATGGTCTTGTTTCGGTTGGTTCTGTTGTGGGAAAACACAAACGCACATAAGCAAACAACAACAATAGTGTTTTTGTTGTGTTGTGTTGTTTTGTTGTTGTTGTTGTTGTTATTGGTGGTGTTGTTGTGGTTGTTATAGTTGAACATTATTTATTCTAAAGAATAATTATTGTTGGGCCCCCTGGTGCGCGCCCCCCCTGCGCCGCCTAGGCCGCAGCTACATTTTCATCATTTTCGTGAGGAAGCCTCAGAAAAGAGGGTGTGTACAGGATCCGGTTGTTTTGTTGTAATCCGCTTTCCCTTGCAAAAAACAATAGAAAATGACATTTCTTGTTCTAATATAATCAAATTTCAAGAATCCCTTGCAAAAAATAAGGTAAAGTGGACATTCGCGCGCGCAAGACGAAATCCTTCCAAAACCTTAGTGTTCGCAGCGATTTTAACATAAAAACATCAAAAAACCAATGGTTTTTCAACAAAAAATTGTCAAAATCTCATCCCGCGCGCTCTTGCGGATTCGTAGGAAACCCAACACTTTTTAAACATTTCTGTCAAACGGGCTTTTGCGAGCAACTTTTTCGAACTTCTGCGACAACGGTTGCGCACCTGCCAGGGCCATCATCCCTGTCAAATAATACCATGCGGGACACATTCGTTTTTTCTTCGCGCGCGCACGCCGTCGTCGTCGGCCGCGGGGCCCTGAATAGTAGCCACGGTCGTCCGCATGCCACGAAGTGAAGTGTCCGAACGTCATAGGGCGGGAAGCTGGGTGTGGGTGGTGGCGAAGAGTCGTTTGGAAATTTGGTAGAGCTTGAACCGGCCCCCCCACAAAGTGGGGGTATTGCCCGCCTCCTATGAAAACCCTGGCACTGGTGAGAACGGAGTGTCCCCACGTGCTAGTAATTGTTGTTGTTGTTGTTGTTGTTGTTGTTGTTGTTGTTGTTGTTGTTGTTGTTGTTGTTGTTGTTGTTGTTGTTGTTGAACATTATTTATTCTAAAGAATAATTATTGTTGGGACCCCTGGTGCACGCCCCCCCGCGCGCCTAGGCCGCAGCACATTTTCATCATTTTCGTGAGGAAGCCTCAGGCAAAACGATGTGATCCAGATCCGGTTGTTTTGTTCCCCCCCGCTTTCCCTTGCAAAAAAAACAATAGAAAATGACATTTCTTGTTCTAATATAATCAAATTTCAAGAATCCCTTGCAAAAAATAAGGTAAAGTGGACATTCGCGCGCGCAAGACGAAATCCTTCCAAAACCTTAGTTTTCGTAGCGATTTTAACATAAAAACATCAAAAAACCAATGGTTTTTCAAAAAAAAATGTCAAAATTTCATCCCGCGCGCTCTTGCGGATTCGTAGGAAACCCAACACTTTTTAAACATTTCTGTCAAACGGGCTTTTGCGAGCAACTTTTTCGAACTTCTGCAACAACGGTTGCGCACCTGCCAGGGCCATCATCCCTGTCAAATAATACCATGCGGGACACATTCGTTTTTTCTTCGCGCGCGCACGCCGTCGTCGTCGGCCGCGGGGCCCTGAATAGTAGCCACGGTCGTCCGCATGCCACGAAGTGAAGTGTCCGAACGTCATAGGGCGGGAAGCTGGGTGTGGGTGGTGGCGAAGAGTCGTTTGGAAATTTGGTAGAGCTTGAACCGGCCCCCCCACAAAGTGGGGGTATTGCCCGCCTCCTATGAAAACCCTGGCACTGGTGAGAACGGAGTGTCCCCACGTGCTAGTAATTGTTGTTGTTGTTGTTGTTGTTGTTGTTGTTGTTGTTGTTGTTGTTGTTGTTAGAGTTGTTGTTGTTAGAGTTGTTGTTGTTGTGGTTGTTGTTGTTGTGGTTGTTGTTGTTGTTTTTGTTTGTTTCCCACGTCCTCTCGCTCAAGACGTTTCAGGTGGTGTGGCCCAGAGCTTTCGATCTCTATTGCACGAAGGTGCCGGGCGACGGGCCGCGCAGCCGTACTGGGCCGGCGTGCCGGCTCTTTCCTGCGTGCGCCCGCGATGTGGCGGCCGTCGACTCGGCCATCTACCCCCGCGCTGACGCCCGGGGTTTCAACGCAGAGCGCGTGCGCTGGAGTGCGGTTGTGCCAGACTCGGGCCGGGCGAAAGGGGGGGATTGGGAAAGGGGGGGTAACGAAATCTGCTGCATGCAGCTGGTTTCGGCCTCACCGAGGGGCCCATGCCTCGATACATAGCCGCCTCCAGCGCCGGGAGGCGCCAGGAAAATCAGCTACTTGAGCTGATTCTCAAACCCCCCCTTTGCTATCCCCCATCCCCCCCTTTCGCCCGACCCGACAGACACTGAAGGCTCGCTCGAGCTGACGGGGGCTCGATGGCATCCACGCGCGGCTGGTAATGTCGCTCCTGGCAGGTTCGCTCGTGCTGCCGCTGCTGGCTGTGAGCGGGGGCTGCCGCTCCAGCTGCTGGCCTGGCGCTGGACTGCAAGGACTGCGAGGTCAGGTGGCCGTCGCGGCCAGCTCGATGGCAGGAGCTACGAAGATGAGCTGCTCGACCTGTTTTGCGAGACGGACGGAGTGCCAGAACTGCGAGCTGCCCCTTGCAAATTTCGGTCATCAGTCAATGCCTGCTGATAGTCGCTTGTTTGGCGAACCCACTATCGATGTAGAAGGCCCTGATGTGCTATTCTGTTGGCGCGACGTTGCAGGTGACGACGCTTCCGCCTTGCCACAAACTCGGCGCGATCGGCTGCTTGATGAGCCACATGATGACCAGGTGTGGACCCCTGTTGGCAAAGGTCGCGTTTGCTGCGTTCCCCCACACTGGACCTCGGCGACTACTGGCGTAGCCCAGCAGCCTGTGCACCAAGAGCGGCCCCAACAGCGACTTCGTCTGGAGTCTCCCCGTTCGTCGGGTTCTTGTCTTCGGCTACTTTGTCGTCGCGTGCCACAGGTATCCTGCTTCATCCGTGAGGCTTCGCCCACTCTTGCGGTTCCATGCGGGAGCGGCGGGCCCGGATAGATTGCAGCAGAGTTTGACTTTTCCTACGCTCGTCTCATCATCACCATCATCACCATCATCACCATCATTCCAATTCTTTTCCTCGTCCCCTCCTCTCGTCCTCCTCCTCCCCTCCTCCTTCTCCTCCTCATCATCTTCATCTCTTCTCCTCTCTCGTCCTCTCTCCTCCTCCTCCCTACTTCTCCTCATCCTTCTCCTCCCATGACTTGTTCAACAGCTTCACGGATGGAGGGCGAGCCGTTTTCAAGACGTGATTCTCTTTTCAGCGCCGCGCACAGCGAAATCGCAACAGTTTGAAGTCTGGGGGGCTAGCCGTTTTCAAAGCTCGGCTCTTGCCAAGGCGTTTAGCACACTCGCCGTAAACGTTTGCAGCACGTTCACTGATTCAGGCCAGGCGTTTTCGAAATGTTGCTATCGCTCGGGCGCCGTGCACATTCGCTTTACATGTTTGCAGCAGCTTCAAGGATGCTGGACAGCTCTTTCTCGAAGTCTAATTATCGCTTGAGCGCCACGTGCATTCGTTCAAAAGTTGTCCGCACCTTCAAGACTGAAGGAGGGTTATGTGTTTCAAAATGTTGTTCTCACCTTAGCGCCGCGCGTATTCGTTTGGACATTCCGCATCAGTTTCAAAGATTCGCATGACCGAAGTCCCAGGCATGGTGTTCTGGAAAGGGTCAGGGTTGCCAGCACGCTATAGCCATGGTCACTCGTGGTGCTGAAGTCCCAGGATGCTTTTCTGGCACGGTTTAGGATTGTCAAGACGCAACGGATACGTTGATTCGCGACGTTGGAGTCCCACGGATGGTGTTTTGGCATGATTGCGGGTTCTCAGACGATTGTCTTCTAGTGGGGCATGTCCATTGGAGATAAGTTCTTGTAGGGCCTTGTGAAGGGGGCATTGTGAGGGGAGGTTTATCGCAATCTCGTTGATCGCGTCCTGGGTTTACCTTGGGCCTTTTCCTTCTCCTCCTCCTCCACCTCCTCCTCTTCGTCTCTGCCCCCCTCTTCCCTCATATGCTGTAGCCGCCTGCGGCAAGATTCGCCACGGTGCCAGCCCAGCATTCTGGGTGGCGATTGTTCGAAGAGGCACGGGATGCCATAACGTGTGACACTTCGTGTCTCCAGGCTTGGGAGGGCCGTGGTCAGGATGAGAGGTGTGCCGATGATGGGGGGTATGACGACTTCGATGATGGTGCTGTTAGTGATAATGATGATGATGACGACGGTACTCGATCATGGTGATGGGCATGGTGAGGATGAACAGGTTGCCGAGGATGATGTGGTTAGTGATTCATGATGGGGATGGTCATGGTGAAGGTGAAGGTAATGATGATGCTAATGCGAGCGATGGTAATTTTGATGTTGGTGCTGATGATGATGGCGATGTTGGTTGTGGTTGTGGTGAGGATGCTGATGCTGATGCTGCGGATGGTGATTATGGCAAGCATATGGGTGATGGTGATGATGATGCAGGTGATGATGCTGAGGATGGTGCCGATGGTGAGTGCATGCTGAAGCTTACGATGATGATACTGAAGATGACGATGATGCTGATGATGCTGATGATGATGCTGATGATGACGGTGATGATTGTGATGATGATGCTGACGATGGCGATGACGATGATGATGACGATGAGGAGGTTGATGCTGATGTTGATGATGCTGATGATGCGTTGTGTGATGATTATGTTGGTGGCGATGGTGTTGCTGTTGTTGATGCTGCTTATGGTGCTGGTGCTGCTGATGGTGATGCTGGTGGTGATGATGATGCTGCTGTCGTTGATGGTGGTGACGATGATGACGAAGCTGACCATGATGATGCTGAGGATGATGTTGACGATGCTGATGGTGATGGTAATGCCGATGGTTAAGATGATGCTGTTGGTGGCGATGCTGCTGCTGCTGCCGATGATGATAATGATGATGATGGCGATGTTGATGATGACGATGCTGATGATGATGATGCTGATGCTGCTGATGATGATGATGATATTGGTGATGATGATGCTGCTGATGATGATAATGGTGATGCTGCAGATGATGATGACGATGACGATGATCATGCTGATGATGATGAGGAGGAGGAGGATGCTGATGAGGATGATGCTGATGATGATGATGTTGTTGATGATGGTAGTGATGATGTTGATGATGATGATGATGATGATGATGATGATGACGACGATGATGATGATGATGATGATGCTGATTATGATGATGATGATGATGATGATGATGATGATGAGGATGAGGATGATGATGATGATGATGATGATGATGATGATGATGATGATGATGATGATGATGATGATGATGATTAAACTCCTGTGGGCCGTCTTGGGGCTGCCTTGGCCTCATGCAAAGCAGGCAGTTTAGGGGGTTCCTTGTGGCCCTCTTGGGCCGTACTGGGGCCCTCTTACGCCAGCTTGTGGTTCTCGTGGGCCGTCCTGGGGCCCTCTTTACTATATGAAGGGTGCCTGGGGGCCGTCTTGGCGCCGTCTTGGGCCGTCCAAGGGCCTTGTAAGCCCGTCTTTGGTAACACGGCAGGGTCTCTTGAGCCGTCTTTTGGCCGTCTTGGGTGGTTCTTGGGCCATCGTGGAGTCCTCGTGGGCCGCCTTGACATGACCGCAGCCCGAAAAGGCGACAATGCGAAACTCATTAAAACAAAACCTCAGGGAAAACACTGATTTGGGCTCCTTCGGACCCTGTTGGAGGTCCTCCTGTGGCCTTTTGGGACCCTATTGGCGGCATCTTGGGCTGTGTTAAAGCACAATCCTGCCGACTTGGGGCAATCTTGGGCCGTCTTCGAGGCATCCTGTGTCATCTTGGTGTCCTTGGTTGTCTGCGCAAGCCGTCGCTCGGGACGCAGATCCGTCGCTTTAAACAACAGGCCGTGGCTTGGGATGCCCTAGACGTTCACGATCCTTGAGCGGGTGCACGTGGGATGAGGGGTTTAGTAGGTCGCAGCAGCGCGGAAGCGCGTAATCCTCGAGCAGGCGCGCATGGAATGAGGGTGCAGGCATTAGCTGCCATGCGGGAAGTGCACCATCCTCGAGCGGGCACACGTTGAAGGGGGGTTCCGGCATGAGCCGCAATACGGGATGTGCACCATTCTCGAGCGGGCACCCGCGGAAGGAGGGTGCAGGCATTCGCTGCCGTGTGGGAAGTGCACCGTCCTCTGCCTCTGGTGGGCACGCGTGGATGGGGTGCTCAGGCACTAGCTGTCATGCGGGCAGTGCACCATCCTCGAGCGGGCACGCGCGGAAGGAGGGGGCGGGCTGACCCGCCTATTAGAATTCAAAAACCCTACCAGACAGACCTTGGCCTTCTTCGATGCCCCAACGTGCCAGGGTGGGGGGCACGATGGCGGAGCATGCTAGCCAGCATGGGTCCAAGGCACTGCGTCATCGCAGTGTGGAGGTGGAGTGCAGTATAAGCTATGTGGCGAAGGCTACGCCGTGGAATATTTGTGGTGTGAGCCACGGCTGTGACTGCTATGCGGTGAAAGCTATGTCGTGCAAGCTGTACGGTGCGAGCTGGACTGCAAGCAATGATGGCGGCTGTGGGGATGCAGGCTGTGCGGCGCAGGCCATGCCATGCTGTGTGGTGAGCTGGGCGCTGCAAGCCTGCGCGGTGAGGAGCTGTGCGGGGACGGCCGCGTGGCGAGAGCTGCGCCGCGCGGGCGCAAAAGCACGGGAGACACGCCCACGAGGCGGCCACGCGGCGGCACGCCCAGCACGCGCGGGGGGCGCCCGCGCGACGCTCGCGAGACGCCCGCGGGGCGCCCGCGGGGGCGGCCGCGGGGCGAGCTGCCGAGGTGACCCCCCCCGTAGGCGCTCCGGGCGCCCGCGGGGGCGGCACGGGCAGGCAGCGCGGCGGAAGCCCGACGTGCCCCGCCCCGCCCCCCAAGCGGAGGAGGAGGGGGAGGAGGAGGAGGAGGAGGAGGAGGGGGAGGGGGGGGAGGAGGAAGAGGAGAGGAGGAGGAGGAGGAGGAGGAGGAGGGGGGAGGAGGGGGAGGAGGAGGAGCAGGAGGAGGAGCGAGGAGGAGGAGCGAGGAGGAGCGAGGGGGAGGAGAGGAGCGAGGAGGAGCGAGGAGGAGGAGGAGCGAGGAGGAGCGAGGAGAGGAGCGAGGAGGAGCGAGGAGGAGGAGGAGGAGGAGGAGGGAGGAGGGATGAGACGCGTGCTCGCCCCGTGGCCGCGCGTGCGGGGCCGTGGCCCCCTCTCGTGCCCCGTGGGCGCCCGCGGGGCGCCCGCGGCGGCGGCACCGCCCGCGGGCGGCGGCGCGACGGGAGCCCGGCGCGCCCCTCGCCCATCCCAGACACGAACCTCCTCCTCTTCGCCCTCCTCCTCGGCTTCCTCCTCCTCCTCCTCCTCCTCCTCCTCCTCCTCCTCCTCCTCCTCCTCCCTCCTACAAGCGCCTCGGCGGGTCTCTCGCCGAGGTCCCAGACAGGGGGTGGGCGGTCTGTCCCTTCGTCTTCGGCCTCGGGGGGGGGCCCCTCGCTGGGCCCCAGGGGGCGTCGAGGGCCGGCTCGGGCTGAGAAGCGGGCCCCA